CGCCCCCCAAAAAACCTGAGGGAGGGCATGGGGGAGGGTACCCCTCCCAGAAGGGAAGAGGGCCTTGGAAGAGGAAAGAATCACATCGTCAGACCACATTCGCCCACAGAGCCGGGCCCGATCCTTCCACGACGCCGCGCGCGGGGATCGCCGGGATCTGGAGTCGGTCGGGCGCCGTTGCCTCCCGTGGTCTCCTGTGGCGCCCCCGTGGTCTCCCGTGGCCTCCCGTGGCCTCCTGCTGCATGCGTTCGTTGAGTTGTTAATCTTCCGCGTGGTCTCTCTCTCTCTCTCTCATGGTCTTCTGTCCGACGCTAGCTGTTCTGGGAAATTCGAACATATACATTACCAGTGGCGGGCTCTCTCTCACTCCCAGGGCTTTTGGAGGGTCGGGGACGACGTCGGGGTGGTGTGGTGTATACTTTTTCCCCGTTTCCCCAGCGAAACAACGAAACATGTATACACCAGGACCGCATATACACCAGGATCCGCTTTCTTGTGATAAATTCAGCGCAGGGCCAGGAAAGCGTTGGTGTGTAGAGTTCGGTTCCCTATGTTTGCTTTTCAATTCCATGCTACCCTCGTACCCTGAGCTCACCACCCACCAAAAACCACCCCAGCCCAACCCGAAGGCCTCAATTTGCCCTCCGTTTCCAGTTGCGGGGGGTCCGGGAACGTCGAGAAAACACATGGAGCCCATACCCCCCCCCACCCGAAATTCGGGTCTTCGGGTTGGGTTGGTGTGGTCTGGTAGGTAGTCATGAGCAGCTTGTCTGGATGGGCTCTATATGATGCTTCTGACGCCGGGTGGGGGAGCCAGCCCCCCCCCCCCCAAATCGTTAGCCCATCCTGGCTCCCAGTTGCGGCCCCCAATCTTGGCCCCCACATGCCCCGTGTCGTGACACCCCGCACGCGAACTGGTTAAAGCCGGTCAGCGTCCACTGCCGCTGGAGTGTCGTTTGCGGTTTGCGCAGGGGTTCTTCGTGCAAAGCACAAGCAGTTGTTTTTGTTCGGAAGTCTTTTGAGCGGCACTGCCACGCCTTCACAGACTTACCTAAGGCAGGCCCAACCTAATTAAATGAGTCGTCGTCGTCGTACTTGTCGTCGTCGTATCCTCGCATCGACCCTCAACACAGCAGGGCGAAAGGCCCGCTGAAATGGGCGGGGGGACGCCAAGCGAACTTGCCCACTGGTGCAGTGGGTGGAGTTCATTGTCAGGTTATCCGTGTGAGGGTTGCGCTGAACAGGACGGGGGCGGCACACGAACGTTGCCTCTGGGGCCGTGGGTGGAGCTCCCCCTGGGGCACGGCGCGCGTGAGGAGAGAGCCGAGATGGGCGAGGGCAGGAAGAGGATGAGGAGGAGGAAGAGGAGGAGGACCAGTGTAAACCCAAGACTCGTCAACGATTTTGGAATAAAGCCTCCCTCCAAGCTCCCTCTTCGCAGGTCCCTGCGAGGATTCATTTCCACTAGGGGAAGTGCCCCGTTGGAAGACAACCGTCCGAAAATCCTGGAGCGTACCAAAAGACCACTCTCGAGACTTCAGCGCCACACATCAACATGTTTGTTGCGATTGGCGGCATTAAATCGCGGCGGAACATCATTCAGGGGACTTCAGCACCGCGAATCCACATAATTGTTCGCTTTATCAGCCCAGACTCGCTCTAACACATACGTTCTGGTACGTTAACCCAGAAATCCCGTGCACCTCTTGCACATGTTTAGGACGAGTGTGCGCAGCGCCAAGGCAAGAGCCACATTGAAAAAGGAGCTGCCCTTCATGCGCGAAACTCTTACCGATGTTCAATCGAACAAGCGCGGCGCTAAGGCGAGAGCCACATGTTGAAATCGACCCGCCCTCAACCCGTAGATTTCAGTTTGCAGCGAAAGTGCGCGGCGCTACGGCCAGAACCGCGTTTTGGAAGCGGCCGCACTCCATGTGTGAAACCGTTGCCAGTTCTTTATAGCCTCAGGATCATAGGTGATCCGAAAGTCTCAGGCGAAACGCCGGGGGCCGCCTTTCCGATTGGCCTCTGGGTGCGACAGGGAGCAGCTATGCGCAACGAACAAATGATGGAGGAGGAAGAGGAGGGAGAGGAGGATGATAATGATGAGGAGGAGGACGACGAGGAGAGAATGGAGGAGGAGGAGGAGGAGAAAATCGGGGAGGAGGAGGACGACGAGAAGGAGGAGGAGGACGATGAGGAGGAGGAGGAGGACGATGAGGAGGAGGAGGGAGGAGGAGGACGAGGAGGAGGCGGAGGCGGAAGACAAGAAAGGACAGGAGGAGGAGGAGGAGAGGAGGAGGAGGAGGAGGAGAGGAGGCGGAGGAGGGAGAGGAGGAGGAGGAGGAGGAGGAGGAGGAGGAGAAGGAGGAGGAGGAAGAGGAGGAGGAGGAGGAAGAGGAGGAGGAGGAGGAGGTGAGGAAAACGAGGGTGATGGGGGGGAGGGAACGCCCCAAGCTAGGTGCTTCGAGTCCGACCAGGGGGGTGGGGAGAGGGGCAATTGAGAAGGGCGACGGAATAGGAGGGGGACGCGCGGCGCTGCGCACTCAGAACGGGGACCCGCGCAGCTCAGCAGGGCCGGATGGAAACCGAGCCGAGGCGGCCGCAGTCCTGGCGCAGCCGGCGCAGGGCGGTGCGGGCCCGGCCATCGAGGGGGGCACGCCGCGCGGCGGGGCGGACCTCCACGGGCAGGGTAACGTCTCGGTTGGGCGCAATGGCCCCTCCCCGTTGGGGCAACGGACGAGGAGGAGGACGGGGAGGATAAGAAGGAGACAGGAGGAAGAGGCGGGGGACTGCCAGGCCGTGGGGGGGGCTGCCTGGTCGCCGCCGCCTCGAGGGATGTCAGGGTGTGCGGCCGTGCGACAGACCGTGCTTGCTGCTCGACAGCCCGCCCCGCCCAAGAACGCATCGACCACCAATCGCCCGTCGATCGGCGATCGAGGCCTGACCGCTGCCCCTCATCGCGAGATGGAGCGGCCGACCCCGGAAACCTCTGAATCCACACGTGCTGGCGTTGTCCTTCCACCTCCGCCGCCTTCCGCCGAGCTTCCCGCCAGCAGACGCAGCGCCGCTTCACTTCCGCCGGCCTTGCGCCGTCTGTTCCGAGGGCAAGACGCGCCGCAGGCGAGGCCCTCTCTGGAGCGCTTCGCCTGCGTCGCCTGCGCGCCTTCGGCGGCAGCCTGCCCTCCGAAGAGAAGCGGCGCCAGGTCGGCTGGCGGAAGCAGGCGGGAGTTCGGCCGAGCGCGGCGGAATTAGTACATAAACATGCATGTGTTTGGATTCGAGGTTTCCAGAGTTGGCCAGTGCGGGCCAGCGCCAGCTTGCGCGCCTGGATCGGGTCGGACGGAAGTGCGTGTGGGGGGGGGGAATCGAGAGTGGAACCGACATCTGCTGGTTAGAGCTGGTTTCGGCTCCGCCGCCGCACTCTTTCTTAAGTTCGCTGGCGCCCCTGGCTTCGGGTGGCGCTGGGAAAACCACATGCGTGAGATGACCCCCGAGGAACAAACGATGACATAACATGTTCGGAGGTCCGTGCTCAAGCGCCGATCCAACAAATCCGCGCGGACCTCCCAAACAAACTGTTTATGCCATTACTTGATCCCCGATCCCTCCCCGTCCCGTTGCCTTTTAAGCCCCGCGCCAAAGGCCACTCATTGTTGCCCAGGGTCACTCTTGCGTGCGGATGATGCATCCGCATCCACACCGCCTTCGGGGGCTGGGGGCAATGCCAGGGGGGGCCTTCACCTTGGGGGTCGCCACTTCCTGAGGATCGAGGGTGGAAATTGACGGGTTGAGGATCGAGATGGACGTTCGGGAGCTTTGGAACCAAGACCGAGATTGGGGTCGTCGTCGGGGTCGTGGTCGTGGTCGTTGCCGTGGTCGTGGTCATGGTCGCGGTCGTGGTATTGGTGTGGTCGTCGTCGTTGTCGTCGAGGATTGAGGTTCGAAGTGTTTGCACATTTTTTTTTGCACGTTCGGGCCTCCTGGAGCGCCCTGCCTTCGTCATCGCAGCTGGCTGCCCATCGAAAAACAAAACCACCACGTACCGCAGGGCAGATCCATGGGGCGTCGCCGAGGCCCCCCCCGCTTCGTGAACGAATCGGGACAAGAGGCCTCCAAGTCCCTGGCCGGTCCCTGCGGGACCGTCAAGACATGACAGCTGGCCTTGGGGATGAGGTCGAGACCTCTTGGGTCCACGTCGCGACACAAAGGAGTCACGACGTCGCGGGTCTGGGGAGGCCACCTCCTGAGGATTGGGGATCAATGCGCTGGGGGATCGAGGATTGAAAAGGTGTGTTGGGCGTCTTTACGCGCCTCGGGCCATGGGTGGTTGCTGTGTGTAGGTTCTGGACGGTCTTCCGCCCCCTCCTTTTTCTCGAGGGGGTGGCGACCCTGCTAGTGGTGCCCCCCCATGGCATGGGAGTCGTGCTCAGGGACCTCGTGCAGTTTTAGATCTTTACAATTTCGAAGCCACAAATCAAAGCATATGCTTATCGTCATTTTTGGCCTTTGGGTCCCGTTCCCCTGACGAGGCCAAGAGACCCCGCCCCAAAAGAAAATCAGAACATCGGAAGTCCGGGACCACGCAGAGTGGTGGACATGGCTATCTGCCTGCACCAGCGGGCGGGCAAGTGTATATCCATACGGGCGCCGGCGGGAACACCGGGCGATCTCCACCACATCAGGGATGCTGCGGTCGGTATTCTGGGGGAGCGCCCCGATGCTGGCCTCGTTTGCCCCGCCCCCCGTTGCGACCAGCGGCTCTTCCCGCGAGCACGTCCACCGCTCTCTCGGGGCTCGGCTGCCGCATTCCAGTCGATGGTCCTCAGGACGTGTGCTAGCCCGGGTGTATGTTTAAAACCTCGGCTCCGCCGATAGCGTACAGTCTGTTTTGGCCCACGTTGCACCGCCAGCGTCATGTTGGAGGGCTTCGGTGGACCAGCACGCGTTGGCGCTAACACACGTTCTGCGGATGATCGATCAAGAAACTGTAGTTGTGGATGCTCCCTTGGCGGAAGCAGGACAAGAGCCCGCCAGAGGAGCGGGCGGCGATGGAGCTCATCTTCAAGGCTCTGGTGGGTCCCTCCGTCTGCGCGATTGGGAGGAGGAGGAGGAGGAGGAGGAGGAGGAGGAGGAGGAGGAGGAGGAGGAGGAGGGGGAGGAGGAAGCGAAGAAGGTGGAGGAGGAGGAGGAGGAGGAGGAGGAGGAAGAAGGCTGGATTTATTTCGAATTGCTGGTCAGAACGCGCACCGGGGAGAGGTCCAGGGAGTCGCGGCCGATCTCGCGCTCCTTGGATCGCGGAAAATCAGCCCACGGCGCCAAATCTACAAGTGTACGATGTGGTAGAAATCAGTTCGTTGGAGGTTGTTACAGCGGTGCTGTTGACATGGTGCCGTGAGCACTGCCGGGTTCTGGCGAGCTGAGCGGGCTCGGGACTTGGCCCGTTTCCTTTCGATGCCTCTCGAGGACCAGGGACGCGCCCAGAGCGGCGGTCGCTAACAGCGCGCGTTCTCAACAGTGCAGTGGCGCCGTCGAGAGGCTTGCAGGTCGGAGAGCCATTCGCCACCGCGCGCGAACTCCACAAACCAGGGACAACGATAGGGGGGGTGGGCAGGCTCAGGGGGGGATTGCATCGCCCCCAATCGCCCATTGGTCGCCGACAGGGGCCCAATAGCTCCTCCCCGCAACTGAACGTGCGGATTCGTTATATAGGGGGGCCTACCGCTGATCCATCGGCGATGCATCGCCGACTCGAGCTCGATGTTCCCCCCTGAGCTGGTCCCCCCCCTGACGTTGCGCCTCAAAGAAGGGCCGGGAGGGGGGGGCGCCGCTCCGACCGGCAGCCCCAAATCGACCCGCGTCGTGGACGACCACCGCGCGCCGAAGGCGCTGCTACGCACGGCCTGGGCGCCTACGAGGCGAGGTTGATCCCCGTCGGGAGGTGGGCATTGCCGAGCGGAGGGTGGTGTCAAAAGCCCACAGAGCTGGATCTCTAGATGGGGCCAGTGTCGAAGATTTCCTCGAGCTCAGCGGCAGCCGTGAGAGCAGTGGCCAGGAGCGCTCGGGCCGAGAGGGAGGCCCAGCGCCGTCTCCACAGCAGTGTTGGCCCACGGCCCGCGGAGTGCAGAGGCAGGTTGCACGAGGGGCATAGCCTCTAAGAGGGCAGGGGGTTTCTTAGGAGGCACGGGTCTTCTAAGAAGCGCCTGGAAGCTTCGAATCATGTTCTCAGACGCCGGGAGGACCTCGATCGTAGGCGATGTTTCTCCCGCAATTACCGAGCTCCGCGTGAAAATGTTGGCCGATCAGAAAAAGGGGGAACCCTGGGATACACTCAGACGCACCCCTATCGAGGATGGGACGCCCCCACTATCGTACATCCCTTGGCTGGGCCTCAAGTTTCTGTTCGATTCGAAAACCTGCCACCAGCTGGCACAGGGGTCGACATGTCCCCTGTCACCCGAAGCAGCCCCCCTTCTCAGAAGCCCGCCCGCTTCCTCCGGAAGGCCGGCCCCCCATCCCCTTACAAGCGCCACCCCCTTGCGTGCGCGCCGCCGGCACACAGCCCGCTCACCCCAGCTCGAGCCGGAGCAGGCCAGCTACACAGCTGGACCGATCCTGGCCCGGCCCCCGTCGGTGCCCGGAGATCCGACGCCCCCAAAAAAGTTGGAGTCGGGGGGCCCTCGGCGGGCCCGGGGTTTGTCAAAACATGACCTGCAGGACGAATATAACTACCTGGCCCCAAAGGGAGGGAAGTGGTCAAGACCTCCGGGGCCCACGCGTCATTGCAGCGGCCGGATGTCTGGGTTTCCGCCACGCGCAGAGGGGCCAGGGGGATAGGGGCAAGGCAGCACCCATGCTTCTTGGAAGGCGCGGGCCTTGTCTGTAGATGTAGTGCCGGCGTTTTCTAAGAAGCAGCCTCCTTCCAAGAAGCCTTCCCCCCTCCCCCTGCCCCGCTCGGCGCGCCGCCAAGGGTTGGCGTCCCCCGGTCAGCAGGTGGCGAACGCCACCGTCGGCGCAGTGGTGTACGAGGCGGCGAAGGGCGGGAGCCCGCCCGCGGCACCGCCTCTGCCCAGCACGCCCCAGAGGTCACAGAAGCAGAGGCTGTCCGGGCAGAGGGGGCGTACGCCCCAGACGCAGACGCCGCTGACCCGGGCGTCGACCACAGACTGTGCCGACGACGCCTCGCCGCAGACCCACGGGACGCAGGACGGGGAGGAGGACGACGACGAGGACTCGGAGGGCGCCAGCCATACACACCTCTGCAACGGCCCTGGCCAGGCCCATCCTGGGCCAGGGATCGGTGTATGCGCCCTCCTTGCTTGGCCAGGGCGCCGTATAGATATCTTCAGACATACGCGCGCGTCTACATGCGTATGTCTGTATATTTGTGTATATATATATATGCACTCATACCTGCCTACCTAGCTACCTGCCTATCTGCAGACATGCATACATACATACACGCACACATACATACATACATGCATACAAGCAATTCAGACATACACATCTACATACGTAAATGCACGCATGACATCCATTGCACTCAAAACAGACATTCCATCCACTACATGTGTACATGCATAAACACATACCGTACGCATACAACCATAACTACACACATACATACATACATACACACATACACATACACACATACATAAACACATATATACATGCATACATACAAACAGCCATACACATATATATACATACATATATATATATACATGCATACATGCACACAGGCATACACACACCTACATACTCGCATTCGTACGTACACACAGACATCCAAACACACACACACATCGATAATTACAATCAGACAGGCACCACCATACGTACATACACACACATACGCACACGCACGTACATGCATACATGCATGCACACATGCATGCGTACGGATAGACATGCACACACACACACACCTACACATGCACATGCAGACATGCATACACATACCTGCAGACAGACGCACATACATACATACACACATACATACATATATACATACGTGCATGCATACATATATACGTACACACATACATACATACATACATACATGCATGCATGCATGCATACATACATACATACATACATACATACATGCATGCACACGTACATACATACATACGCACACACATACATACATACACACATACATACGTACATGCATGCACGCGTACATACACCCATACATCCATATATCGATACGCACACACATACAGAGATGCAGACATACATACATACAGACATACAGACATATATCCATACATACATACAGACATACAGACAGGCAGACCGACAGACAGACAGACAGAGAGGCAGACAGACACACACACATGCACACATACATACATGCATATGTACACGTATACATGCATACATACCTACACACATACATATTTACATACATGCATTCACACATGTTTACAGGCATACATGCATACATGCATACATGCATGCTTACACCCCTCCATACATTCAGGCATACATACATGCATGCATACATACAGGCAAACATGCAAGCACACCTACACATACAAAAGTACACACATGTATGTACATGCATGTGCATCTAATATCACACACAACCCGAGTCTGGGCCCAGGATGGGCCTGCCGAGGATCGGTGCACGTGCACTGTCGGCGCCCTCCGAAGGACCTCGACGGGCTCGGCGTGCTCGACCTCTCGCTGGAGGAGCTGGATGACGACGAGGTCCTGCAGAGCCCGCCCCTTGCTAGCCCCAAGGGGCGCGGTCGTGGCCCGCCGCGTGGTGGCAGCAAGGGCGGCGGCAAGGGCGGGGCGTCCTCGAGGGAGTTCGGGCCCACGCCGCCTCCGCCCGGCAGCCTCAAGGCGCTCCCGGCGGACCAGGTCCAGCGTTTCCTGGAGCTGGTGCAGCGCGGCGACTGCGCGGAGGCTCGCGGGCGGGTGAGCCATGCACGCATCCACGGCCTCGCGGTCCTGACTCCTTGCCCGCGGCCCCGTGGATTCCGCGCGGATTTCTTGGGTCGGCGCTGCCCCCCCCCCCCCCCGTAAGGGTGGTATCTTTGTGTAGGTGGCTTGTGTGTTTTCATTGGAATCGGACTGTGTATCCGCATCAATTTGAATATTGGAACCGAATTGGATTTAATAGGATTTCAATAGGAAGGGAGCGGATCCCAGATCCAGAGGATTTCTATTTAGAATCTAATCAGATTCCAATTGGATTTCAATAGAAACGGGACGGATTCCGCATCCAGAGAATTCCTATTGGAATCTAATTGGGTTTGAATAGGATTTCAATAGGAAGGGAGCGGATCCCAGATCCAGAGGATTTCTATTTAGAATCTAATCAGATTCCAATTGGATTTCAATAGAAACGGGACGGATTCCGCATCCAGAGAATTCCTATTGGAATCTAATTGGGTTTGAATAGGATTTCAATAGGAAGGGAGCGGATCCCAGATCCAGAGGATTTCTATTTAGAATCTAATCAGATTCCAATTGGATTTCAATAGAAACGGGACGGATTCCGCATCCAGAGAATTCCTATTGGAATCTAATTGGGTTTGAATAGGATTTCAATAGGAAGGGAGCGGATCCCAGATCCAGAGGATTTCTATTTAGAATCTAATCAGATTCCAATTGGATTTCAATAGAAACGGGACGGATTCCGCATCCAGAGAATTTCTATTGGAATTTATAAAAACGCTGCGTTTCGTAATCTTTTCGCTCGGAAATTAATAAAAACGCTATGTTTTCCCGCTTTTTTAAATAAAAATAAATAAAAACGCTGTGTTTTCCAATCTTTTTATTTGGAAACTAATACGAATGCTGTGTTTTCCAGCTTTTTTAAATAAAAGCAATAAAAACATTGTATTTTCATATTCTTTTATTTGGAAACTAATAAAAACGCTATGTTGTCCATATTTTTTAATAAAAGACAATAAAAACGCTGTGTTTTCCTATCTTTTAATTTGAAAATTAAGAAAAACGCTGTGTTTTCCAGTTTTTTTTTACATAAAAAGCAATAAAAACGCTGTGTTTTACAACGTTTCGTGTAGGAATCGAATAAAAAAACCTTGTGTTTTCTTTACTTTTTAAATGCGGGCGTGCTGAAACCTTGTGTTTTTACAGGTTTCTGGCAACCGCGATCAATAAACCATTGTGTTGTACAGCGTTTGGGCGCTCTGAGGCAGCCAAAACCTGTGTTTTGTAGCCTCCGAGCATTTGAAAACAGGTTTTCCTTATGTTTTCCAATAATTCCAATTATTTCCAATATTTTCTAATAAAAACGCTGTGTTTTCCAAAATTCCAATACTTTTCAAAGTTTCGGGCTCCGGACCTGGTGGGCGGGCGGCGGGCGGCTGGAAAATTCAAAATAATTGGAAAACGAAGCGTTTTCCAATTTTTCAAATGAAAATCAATGAAAACGCAATGTTTTCCAATTTTTTACAATAAAATAATTGGAAAACGCTGTGTTTTCAAATTTTTTACACAGAAATAATTCGAAAACGCTGTGTTTTCCAATTTTTTATTCCAGAAATCAATGAAAACCTTGCGTTTTCCAATTATTTTGAATTTTCCAGCCGCCCGCCGCCCGCCCACCAGCTCCGGAGCCCGAAACCTTGAAAAGTATTGGAATTTTGGAAAACACAGCGTTTTTATCGGAAAATATTGGAAATAATTGGAATTATTGGAAAACATAAGGAAAACGTGTTTTCAAATGCTCGGAGGCTGCAAAACAAAGGTTTTGGCTGCCTCAGAGCGCCCAAACGCTGTACAACACAATGGTTTATTGATCGCGGTTGCCAGAAACCTGTAAAAACACAAGGTTTCAGCACGCCCGCATTTAAAAAGTAAAGAAACATAGCGTTTTTTTATTCGATTCCTACACGAAACGTTGTAAAACACACCGTTTTTATTGCTTTTTATGTAAAAAAGCTGGAAAACACAGCGTTTTTGTTAATTTTCAAATAAAAAGATTAGAAAACATAGCGTTTTTATTGTTTTTTATTTGAAAAATTTGGAAAACATAGCATTTTCATTAGTTTTCAAATAAAAAGATTTGAAAACACAGCGTTTTTATTTATTTTTATTTTAAAAAGCTAAAAACACAGCGTTTTTATTTATTTTCAAATAAAAAGATTAAAAAAAAACACACACAGCGTTTTTTATTGATTGTTATTTGAAAAAATTAGAAAACATATTATTTTTAGTGGTTTCCAAATAAAAAGTTTGGTAAACACAGCGTTTTTTTTTTTTTTTTTTTTTTTTTTTGTTTTTTTATTTTATTTATGAAAGCTGGAAACCACATCATTTTTATTGATTTTCAAATAAAAAGATTGGAAAACACAGCGTTTCTATTGATTTTCACATAAAACAGCTAGAAAACACAGCGTTTTCATTTATTTTCAAATAAAAAGATTAACAACCACTGCGTTTTTTATTGTTTTGTATTTAAGAAACTGGAAACACAATGTTTTTACTGATTTCCACATTAAGCTCAATGGAAAACCAAATGTTTCTATTGCTTTTTATGTAAAGGCACAACGGCACCACAGATGCCCCACAAGTGTGGGAACATCTGGGAAACGCATTGGAAACGCGCAAGAGCGTAAACGTGCGAACACGCTATTAGTTCATGTATTTACGGTTTTTAATAAGATTCTCTGGGGTTTGGGTGAAAGCACCGAATGCCAGAAAAAACAGCGGCGCCACAGATGCGCCACAAGTGTGGAAACATATGGGAAACGCATTAGAAACGCGGAAGGGCGTAAACGTGCGAACACGCTATTAGTTCATGTATTTACGGTTTTTAATAAGATTCTCTGGGGTTTGTGTGAAAGCACTGAATGCCAGAAAAAACAGCGGCGCCACACGTGCACGCAGAAGAACCCACTCAGCACGACATTGGCGGCGGTCATAGCGGCTGCAAGGGAGAAGAAAGGCGGGGAACCTGGGGCAGAAGCCTGGATCAGAAACGCCTGCAGATCGATAAACGAACGGACTGGGCGCCAACGGTAACGTTCGGACGACTGCATTCGACACTCCAAACGAATCGTCCACGGCCCAGACGGGCGCCAATCAAAACCAAGTTCGGGCCAAACAAGCAATGCGACCACTAATCAAATGCGGAACGGATTTGGCACTGTAAGGACCAAATCCGTTCCATGTGCTCCCGCGATCACTCCCGACCCCTTGGTTTCGGTCCAGCTGGAACGGATTTGGAAACACGTGGGCCAAATCCGTTCCGCGTGCTCGGACGACGACTTTCGGGCCAGCGCAGACGACCACGGGGCTAACTGCTTGCGGCCCAGGCGGGGGTTCTCACTGCGACGCTCGACTCCAGCAAGACAGACAACTACTCGTCCCAGAACTGGGGCTTCGGCAACATGCGAGGCGCATCCGATCCGCGTGCTCGAGCGATCACTTTCGGACTCCATGCGACGCCCCCCGCATGGAGCATCCCCTCGCCCTCCTGCTCGTCCGCCCCGCGCGCCGTCGCTCGGGCCTGACTGATGCCCGCGCAACTCTGGCGTCGCCCCTGGAAAATGGTTGCCTAGACAGGCCAGCCGCGCAATCGCGGCGAGCGAGATAGTCGCTGCTCGGCAGCGAGGCGGCTCGGCCCCGCCCTCAGCACGCGCCCCGCCCCTTCACCAATATACACAGGATCTTCGCTGTGCTAGTCGGCGATGTCGTCACCCCCCTGGCTGTGCGACGCGCGGCTGGCCGGGGCGTCGGCGTCGCCGCCCGCGCGCGTCTTCTTGCTCGGCCCGCTCGGCGACGAGATGTCGTCCAAGTCGATCTCAGCGTTCTCTGCGGACCGGCCCGAGAGGGGCCGCGCGAACGCACGCCTCTGCTGCGATGGAGGCGGCGAAAGCATCTCCCGCTTCACATTCGCGCCGGCGGCGGCAGAGCTGCTGGCCGAGCCGCTCCCAGACCACAGCTTCTTCTTGAAAAGCTCGAGTTCGTCTGCCTCCATCTGGGTTCTCGCGGCCAAAGGGGCGAGCTGTTCAGTCTTCTTCCAGCGCTTCAGGATCTGGAGGGCCTCGTCAGTGATGAACTTCGGCGTCTTGAGCTCGTAGCGCTCGATAGTGGCCTCGTCGCCGACTCCGGCGGGGCGCACAAAGAACGAGTGCTCCGTGTTCACATATACTTGGACGCGTCGCAATACGGCATCAATGTCAGGCTGGCTCATTTCCACGTGGAACGCAGGCCGAATCATCTCGGTGAAGACCTTGTAGGTAATGCCCGCGTACCCGAAGCCCGCCGATTGCGGATGCCTCGCGGAAAACAGATTCCCCTGCTGGAGGGTTCTCCCCAGAGCCGTGTCTGCGAGTCTTGCGATCGCCGCTGGCCGACCGATCTGGCCCGCCGAGAGCCAGGGCTCACTTGCCAGCGACGATCGCAAGGGCACTCGACCAGGCTCCAGTAAGAGGGGGCAGAGAGAATTGATTTCCGAAATGGCAATGCCGACCTCTGACCGTCGAGGGTGATGTGCGGCTCTGCCTCCAAGTCCACCTTGTTGTCCCCCGCGCTGCGGTGCTCCTTGCCGTCGAACTTGGTGCTCGAATACCTTTCCGTTGTCATCTGTGACTTTTTCTTCTTATCGAAGAAGGCCTTCATCTTTCTCGGAGGCATTCGGTCCAGATCGCCATCGTCGAACATGGTAGATATGTGCGGTTGACCAGCGTCCTCGCGGAAGTGGTCGAAGTCTGTGGACGAGCGAACGCCAGCAGTCGCGCCGACGAGGTCCAGCTCGAAGATGCGGTAGCGCGCCATGGCGAAACCGATGATGTGCTGCACGCTGGACTTGCCGCTCCCGCCAATTCCGAGCCACAACTGCGCATCCTCGTCCCGCTTGTCCATGTGCTTTTCGAGGATGGTCTGGAGCCATGGCTGGATGTGGCACCAGTATAGCGGATACTCCTCCTCGGGCGCAGCCTGAGCGTCCGCGCCCTTCAGGTCCTTGACGGCGGCGAGGACGCGGCCGACGTTCCAGCCGAAGATCGGAGATTCCTCCCTCTGCGTCTCTGTGTCGATCCAGCGGCGCATCATCAGCTTCCTCTTGACAAAGAAGTGCTTGTTCTTCTCGGTGAAGTCGTAGCCGTCGGAGATCTGCTGCGCCGTTTCCATCTTGTCAGAGCGCTTGCCCGACTTCGTCTTGAAGGTATGGTACGTCACCTGGAAGCCGCCCATGCGCTGGAATAGGTAAATGAAAACTGACGGCCCAGCCCTCTTGTTTGCTCCGTAATTCACCAAGATCGCGTCACCCTGGCACACGCGCCGTGCAATTTCGAGAGTGGGCTTCCCGTCGAACACGAAGTGCTTGAACACCTCAACCTTGTTGTTCTCGGTTGGAAGCATGCACAGGTTCATGTGGTAGTTGAATGCCAGCACGGACTTCGGGCTGAGAGCGCCTGGGAGTTGGAGATACTCGTGGTTCCGCATCAGGCCCAGCACGGCGACCTTGTCGAATACGTCATCGACGTCCAAGCACACGTCGACGAGGTGCGTCACGGAAAGCGTGCCAGGCTTTGAGCGCGAAGTGAGCTCGTCCATGAGCGGCAGGTGCGCCGGCTGGATGGCCCGCCGCGGGCCGTCGTGGTGGTCGGGCTTTTTGATGGTTGTGCACACCAACGCGCCCGCCACCTTCACCGCCAGCTCGAAGGAGATCGGGCTGTCTTCTTCCTGCTCGTACTGCTGGGCCAGCGTCAAAGGCGCGCCCGAAGAGGACTGTGCGCCTGAGCTGGCGGCCATCCCGCGCCGACCTGGCGCGGCGGCGGGACAAGGCCAGGCCGCCTCGGGCTCGGCACCCCGACCAAGCTTGAGCCCAAATCTGAATAAGCATCGTTATAAAGTATGCGGCGCGCGTGCTTTAGGTGTTGGCATTCACGGCGCGCGCGTGACAATGTGAGTAACAGATACTACGTGCGCGTGTGTATATGTATATGTTTGCTTTAATGCAATGCCAGCCCGCGCTCTCTACAATGAGTCCACGATGTTCTCAGCCCGAGAAGCCCGCCTACTGGCTTCCGCCCGTTCCCGCTCGGCTCCCGCTAGGCTTTTCTGGCGCAGCACGTTTCCACAAGATCCAGCAAACGTTCCATTCGCGCTTGCATGACAGAGCAATTGATCATTGATAGATTTGGACAAACAGCGAAGCCACTTGGACCTGGACGCATGCAAGAGAACACAGAACAAAGAACAACAGACAAGAAAAGACAGCAAACACACACAAGCCACCCACACAAAGATACCACCCCCACCCCCCCCCCCCGCGGCGGCGGCGCCTCTGGCGTCTCCCCTGTCGCGCTCCGCGCGCCAATGGGGGGGAGAGGGTTTGGCGTCGAGACATAAAAATATTACGCGCGGGCCTCCGAAAAAAAGCTTACGTTCGTGCCGCCTGCCGCTCTTCGGGGGGTTCAACGACATACCCGTATCCGCGGCCTCGCGGGCCAGACCCCTGGGCCGCGACCCCCGCGGATACGGGGCATTTCTGTTGTGGATGCCCCGTGCCTAAAGTGCCCGAGCCACCATCCGCGGGTTCGCGGCCCAGGGGCGGCCGTGGATACGTATCCGTGCGACCCCCGCGCCCTGGAACCCAGACGGAGATGGCGCGGATGTGCGTACGTTCGCCGCTCGTGGGTTCTCCTGCGAGGCGCTGAAGGCGCTGCGCAGGGTGCGCCGCGCCGTGAAGGGGCGCGGCTGCTCCAAGGAGGCCTTCGGCGGGACCCGGGCGCTGCTGCACCACCTGCTGGAGGCCTATGCCCAGGCCCAGAAGAGAAGAAGATACCGACTCCGCGACCCTCGCCTCGCTTCCGCCTCGTTGGGCCTCACTGGGAGGCCCTCGTCGCCATGGCTGGGTTCGCCCCAACAAATCTTGGTCAGAACGCACCCCGACCGGCGGCGACGTCTTCGCCGACGGCGTTCCAGTGTGGACGCCGCCGGCGACCAGGAATCGGTCGATGTGGAACGGCCCCGCGGTGTCAGGAACCAGCGCCGTGGTCGGCACGACATGAGCTTACGAGGAGGAGGAGGAGGAGGAGGAGGAGGAGGAGGAGGAGGAGGAGGAGGAGGAGGAGGAGGAGGAGGAGGAGGATAATTATGATATGAGCACCAGGAGGAAGAGGAGGAGGTGGTCAGTTTCTCCCCTCAGGCGGGCCGGCTGCCCGAAGCCCTGGACCTCCTGGGCGACATGAAGGGCGGCGCGGAGGCCCGCCTCGTGAGCGCCGCGGCCTTCAACGCCGTGCTCCGGGGCCTGCTGACGCGCGGGTCGCTCGACGAGGCGCGCTGGATCGTGCGCGAGGAGATGCCGCGCCTCGGCGTCGCGCCGAACGAGTCCTCACTGAACCTGCTGATGGACACGATGGCGCGGGCGGGGCCGGCCCACCTCGAGGAGGCGTGGGACGTCTTGGAGGACACAGGTCTCGAGCTAAACGGTGTTTTCTGAGATTTCGTGGACGGTTTTTCGTTTTGTTTTCGTTTCGCAGCAAGAGGCGGGACGAAGACAGGACGATGGATGACGAAAACGACACGACAGAAACACCATGTCGCTCGAGCCGTGGGAGGACATGCAGCGCCGCGGGCTGCGGGCGGACAAGTACACCGTGTCCATCCTGACCAAGGGCATCTCGGAGCGCGTCGACAAGAGGCGCGTTCCGCGGAGCGTGGCGCTGGTGGAGCACTTCCTCAAGAGCCAGCCGGACGACGTCGACGAGGTGCTCGTGAACTCGCTCCTGGACGTCTTCTGCAGGATGAACGACATGAACCGACTGGAGGCCACGCTGACAAAGATGCGGGAGTATGGCATCCGGGGCTCTGCCGTCACCTATGGCACGATTGTCAAGGCGTACGGCCGGGCGGGCAACATCGAAAAGGTCGTTCAAGCATGGGACGCGATGTCGAAGGAGGGTCTCGAGGCTAACGCCGTCACTTACGGCTGCATGCTGGATGCGTGCGTGAAGTGTGGCCACCTGGACCGGGCTTTCCAGGTTTTCGGGAGGATGAAGGAGCAGGGGATCCACAAGAACACGATCCTGTACGCGACGCTCATAAAGGGTCTTGCGAAATCCAAGGACCCTTCTGCTGCCAGGAAGCTGCACCAGGAGATGGTGGCCGAGGGAGTGAACTGCAACGTCGTAGTGTTCAACAGCCTCATCGACGCTTGCGTGCGAGCCAGCGACCTCAATGGTGCCGCTGAAGTTCTCCAGGAGATGACTTCAGCGGGCGTTCGGCCCGACCTCATCACGTTCAGCACCCTCATTAAGGGATACTGCAACAGCGGCGAGCTTCACAAGGCCATGCGCCTGTCAGAGGAGCTGCAGGCGCGCAACCTGCAGTGCGACGAGATCGTGTACAACTCGCTACTCGAGGGCTGCGTGAAGGCCGGCGACCTGCAGCTGGGCTTGCGGCTTTTCAGCGAGATGCGCGGCCGCAACGTGTTGCCGAGCCCCGTCACGTTCTCGATCATGGTGAAGCTGCTCTCGCGCGCTGGTCGCCTCGACCT